ATGATTTAGAGAAATATCATAAAAGAAGCACAAAAGAAAGTGCTTCCTAAAATCCTAACCCGTTTGATAGTAAACCAACATTGTTCTGTGAGGAAAGGGGAATGATTGATTTTAACCTTGGAAATTGACGTCAGTGTTCCAAGACTTTTGGCAGGCATTGTAGTTTACAGATTTTGCTTTTAGAAAGTTCACGAGACGTTGCTCATCCGTTTTGATGGCAGACGACGGCCCTCTTTTGAAAATATATCGTTAGAGCATTTTGATGTTTCTTGTTCTTTCTTTTCTAGCGGAATAAGATCGACACAATGTGTTTAACATTTCATGCTTCCCTGAGACACGTTTCATTGGCTGGCAACATGCTGTCGTCAACAACAGGATTGGAGCAACTCGTCAACCTCGAAGTGCTGGATCTGTCCTCTAACCGAATTACTAGAATTGGTGAAAACTTTTTTTAATGTCTTTTTACACAAGGCTTGTGTTTTCAAGCCGCTTACCACCCTTACCAAAAGTCCTTGAAACGCTTTGCCGTTTGAGTGATATTTTAAAGAAAATCAACTGTTTCCATTAGAAAACATTTACACCGCATTCCCTTTTCCCCAACACAATGTTGGTTGTAGAGATAAATATCGCAACTATGTGAAAGGAATCCAATGAACAACACCGAATCAATAAACATTGCATGAGGCAGCATTGTTCAGAGTAGGAGGCGGATGCAGTATAAAAGATTCAAAATTTAGTGTAGTTTACCTAGAGGTTTGGCAAGAATTAGTGTAGGTCATCCTCGTTATCACCAGCTGCTTTTATCGAAAACATTAAGGGTCCGCTGCTCGGTCCTATTTGACCAAATGATTGATAGCTGTCCGGATGTCCGGATGTCCGGATGCATTATCATTATACTGATAGATTGATCATACTCTGCAAGAATATGGATTTTGTTATGTATTTTACTTTGCTATAGTTCTGCTCAGTGTGTTTTTCATCGTTCTTTCATGCCTCTGTACATCTTCCGTGTGATGATCTTCATCTCACAACTAGACACCTTCTCATTTCCTCTTATTTGGATTTTGTTATGTACTTTACTTTGCTTTAGTTCTGCTCAGTGTGTTTTTTTCATCATTCTTTCATCGTCTTTCTGCCTCTGTACATCTTCCTCGTTATGATCTTCATCTCACAACTGGACACCTTCTCATTTCCTCTTATTTGGATTTTGTTATGTACTTTACTTTGCTTTAGTTCTGCTCAGTGTGTTTTTTTCATCATTCTTTCATCGTCTTTCTGCCTCTGTACATCTTCCTCGTTATGATCTTCATCTCACAACTGGACACCTTCTCATTTCCTCTTATTTGGATTTTGTTATGTACTTTACTTTGCTTTAGTTCTGCTCAGTGTGTTTTTTTCATCATTCTTTCATCGTCTTTCTGCCTCTGTACATCTTCCTCGTTATGATCTTCATCTCACAACTGGACACCTTCTCATTTCCTCTTATTTGGATTTTGTTATGTACTTTACTTTGCTTTAGTTCTGCTCAGTGTGTTTTTTTCATCATTCTTTCATCGTCTTTCTGCCTCTGTACATCTTCCTCGTTATGATCTTCATCTCACAACTGGACACCTTCTCATTTCCTCTTATTTGGATTTTGTTATGTACTTTACTTTGCTTTAGTTCTGCTCAGTGTGTTTTTTTCATCATTCTTTCATCGTCTTTCTGCCTCTGTACATCTTCCTCGTTATGATCTTCATCTCACAACTGGACACCTTCTCATTTCCTCTTATTTGGATTTTGTTATGTACTTTACTTTGCTTTAGTTCTGCTCAGTGTGTTTTTTTCATCATTCTTTCATCGTCTTTCTGCCTCTGTACATCTTCCTCGTTATGATCTTCATCTCACAACTGGACACCTTCTCATTTCCTCTTATTTGGATTTTGTTATGTATTTTACTTTGCTATAGTTCTGCTCAGTGTGTTTTTTCATCATTCTTTCATCGTCTTTCTGCCTCTGTACATCTTCCTCGTTATGATCTTCATCTCACAACTAGACACCTCGTTCCCTCTTATTTTGTGTATTCGCTTCCTGAAGCATACCCCAACTGATATTTGTATAAAATTTTGTGGTTCACGTAGTTCTTGTTCTGTAGTTTATCAGTATTTAAATGTTGAAATTCCTGTCTCAAACTGTCTTCTTTTACAAAAGGTTCCATTTCTTCATGTACCAAACTGCAAAGATTGAATCTGAGTGATAATCAGCTTATATCGTTGAAGGTAAGTCCCATTTTATGCCTTGAAATGCACATTTGTCGTTGATATGAATGTAAAAGTATGCTGCAACTTGTCAAACTCAACCAAATTTGACTGTAGCTTGACTGGGTCCTCGAGCTCTATTGAAATGCTTAATGTCGGGTGATGTTAAGCGAAATATGGAGAATTCTTTTACACTCTGTCGAGTGCTGCTTTTTAAGGTTCAGAAGTGATGGCTGACACTTGGTGAAATTGGAAAATTGTCA